GCTGTCCCTGGGATGCTGCTCTGCCATGCGAAGGGCCACGCAGGGTTTGATCGCAGCCTCAGTCACGCTGGTGGGGGGGGTTTTCTCTTCCACATGGAGGCAGCTGCAAATAAAGTCTGGAGCTTTTCCTGGAAACCTCATCCCTGCCATGTGGGGAGCTCCCCCACTGCCATCAGAAACGCATCCCGGAGCCTCACCAGGACGAGAGGGGGGTCCCTGCGGAGCTCCCCAGTGCTGTACCCCTCCCCTGTCCCCAAACCCCCTCTGGGGCAGCCTGTACCCATGGGGGCTTTGGGGTGCCACCTCTCCCTACACCAAACCTCTGTCTGAAATGCTGCCCGACTTGGGATGCCAGGGAGAAGATGGGCAGGGATGGGGCGGGATGTCCCCAGTTTCACTCGCTGCATGGGAGGCCGGTTGTGTTGGGCGTCTGTGGCACCCACTGCAGTGCGCGGCTGGGAGCAGGCAGGATGCGTCCCATCTCCTTTGCCGGACATCCATCCATGGGGTTTTTCCAAGGAAAGCAAAGCCAGTGAGCTGTTCTGGGGCTGGAAAAGTCTGTGTTGGTGGGGAGGGGGATACCTGGTCCAGTGTGGACTGGGGTGCTCCCTGCTTGGGTCCCCTGGGTGTGAGCATCCAGAGGATGCATAAGTTGGGGAACTCCATGGCACGAAGCCTCTCCCGGTTAACGTAGCACCGTTTGATGCCGCGGGGCCTCGCTCCTCTCTCTCCCCTTCCCTGGGCATCCTGACGGGCAGGACAGGTGTTGGTGGGATGGGGGCTCTGCCAGCTTTGGCACTGACAAGGCATGTCGCGGTCGCCTCCGCAGCAGGCAGCCGGGTGAGCCAGGAGCTGCGCTACACCAAGGAGAAGCTGGGTGAGGAGTCCGTCTACACTTCCCAGATGTTGATCCAGACCCCGAAGCGGGATGGGGAGAACATCCTGACGCAGGAGGCCCTGCAGCTCCACCTCGAGGCAGCCCTGGCCGCCAGCAAAGTCCAAGTCTCACTCTACGGAAAGTGAGTCCAGCTCCAGATGTGGGGGACGAGGACCCCCGCCATGCCATCTGTGTCCCCCACACCCTTTGCTGTGTCCCCTGTGGGATGATGCTTGTCCTCAGCTCCTCCTTCTGCCTTTCCAGATCGTGGGATTTGAATAAGATCTGCTACAAGTCGGGTGTCCCCATCATCGAGAATGGCATGATCGAGAGGGTGAGTGTTGGGCATGGCACGGCCCCCAGGGAGCCCCCCAGGGGAGATTGGTTTCCCAAAAAACAGGCAGCGGATGGGCTGTGGTGAGTGCACTGGGCTGCAGATGGGTGTGTGGCACTGCAAAGGCACTGCCAGTGCGGGAGGGCGCGGGTTTGGGCAGCCCAGGAGGGCTGGGGGTGGGGGAGCCAGACTGGGGGCTGATCCATCCATGCTGACCACCTCACATCTCTTCCTGCCACAGATGATAGAGAAGCTGTTCCCCTGTGTGATCCTGACGCCACTGGACTGCTTCTGGGAAGGCTCCAAGCTGCAGGGAGGCTCAGCCTACCTCCCGTGAGTCAGGGGGCTGTCCTGGAGCACGGGGGGCTGCGGGTGGGAGCAGAGACTGGCGGGGAGGGTGCTGCAGAGGGGCTGTGCTTGGCCTCCCCATGCAGCTTGGCCCTGCTGCCCCAAGGTCCCTCAGTGTTGCTGATTGTCCCGCTCAGCCCCAGGATGGTCCCAGCACCATTGCCCATCCTGCTGGGTCAGCACCCAGGGACGGGTTCCTGTCCTCCTCTGCCTGACCTCGGTGGTCCCCAGAGGCGGGAGCGGCCCGTCCCTGCCATGCCATGCCGTCACACCATCCAGGGATGGGGACGCAGGGACAGAGGCCGTGCCACAGGGAGGTCCCTGCAGGCTGCTCCCCCC